AAACAGTAACTGAAATACTCCCAGTCTCCCTGTCACAACAGGTACTTCAATAAACTGCACATTTACTCCTTACCAAACATTTGATGAGTGACTCTCAGAACTACAGTTCTATATATGATGCAATTTGTTAATGTGATACTACAGTAAAGGGGGTAAAGAGGGAAGGTGTGGGCTGTGATTGGGTCACACTGAGCCAATTGAGAACTGAGCAGAGATGGTGACAGTGTGTTTCTCGCCTCCTAAACTTCAGTCACATGCAGACTGGGGAGTGTCTCTGCTCCACCAATGGCCCTGCAGAGCCTACGCCGCCTTGACAAGCCTTTGCATAACACTGGAGACTTGGCCTGCCATGTGGCCAGAGGATGAAGTGTGCAAACTGTTCATGCATTTATGAAAACAATGAATTAATCTTCCTCTAAGGGGTGGATCAACAGCTATCTGTCCAAATGTCAAGTCAACCTTGTCTCTTCTTTTGAAAACAGGTGCGGAAAAAAAAAAAAAAAGTGATGCAACAAACACCATCATGTAGAAACGTGTACATCACAGCTGGTATCAGTAAGTGTGAGTAGGGGGGGGTTGTGAGCCTCTGCTTTCACCACTTTTATTTCTCTGTTAATTAACTGATCGTAGAGACATTTTCTAGAATATCTCTTGGACTTTTATATGAACATGACAATATATAGTCATGTTTATGCAGATTAAGTGCTACTATGCACCGAGAGACTATACATTCTCATTTGAAAGTATGAGAACAGCAGTTGAGGCTCAATAGAAGCTATACAGGAATGTGCAGTTGAAAATGGATTCACAGCGCCACCTGCTGAAAACATGTGTAATATCAGTGTCTTAAAATGCATTGCTCTGTTATTTTGGCCTCAAACATAAATATGCCAGCAAAACATTGAGAAGAGTCACATTTGGACAGTAAATAATATTTTTTATGTATATGTCATCTTACGTGTAAAGAGTTGTTGTCAAATATATTACAGTATCAAAAATAAAAGTCTTTCAACAACCCTGAATAAATTAGAATACTGAAAACAACAAAACACAGTTGCCACACAAACACAGTATCATGGCTTCATCCACTAAACTCTTCAACTCAATATGAACCAAAATTGAAGTCGCACATTTACAACATAGGATCAGTGACAGGCTGTAATTCTGATCTTAACTCTTTACCAAAAACAGTTTCAATACAAAACCTAGATTTTTGTAAACAGAAGAAACACAAACATATTCAGTGGAGGATCAAGGTTAACAAGGTCCTTTCTGAAACATACATTTATAGGTCCAGTCAACAATATGCTCAGTCATTGTATGAGGTAATGGTATAAGATGAGTAAAATGCAGTGAACATAACGTCTCCACACCACACTGTCTGTACTAACTGATCGTTCCTTCTCCTTTAATAACAGAAAACTTTGCTGGAGAACACATTGGGATCTCTGCTGACAGCTGCTGCACAGGAACTAGTTCCTCATTATTCCTCCAATAATGTGAACATGATCACGGAGGAGCACAGAACTGTGTACGAAATATTATTCCACAGGCCTTTGCCTGTAGGGCCTTTGACATCACATTCTTGCTTTCGATATCGCTCAGCGTTTGTCTCGTCTTTTGTCCATTTCCTTTCGAATCCGAGCCACCAGAGCTGCCCTCATGGCTGAATCCAAGCTGTTCTTATCCGCAACACGTTCCACTACTTTCTCAGGCTTATCATCCTTTACAAAAAGAAAAAAACAGAAACAATTTAGAAAACTTAAGAGGGAGAAATCACACAAAAAGCAAGAAACCTCAGATAAAAGGGGATGTGCAGGTACCTTGTGCACAAGAAAGGATGTAATGGCACCAGAGTCTGCCTGATAGTCGAGCCAGAAAAGTTCAGTCCCGTGGGTTTCCGTCTCTGTGCTCGACCCACTCTCGTTCCACTCCTCAGCCTCAGCACCAGCCCCTGGTTCGGATCCATCTGCAACATAAGCACACACAAACCTTCTCTTCACTCTTATTCAGTGGCTGTACCATCAACAGCAGGAACCCAAGTCAAGGGCAGCTGGATCTTACGTCTTTGCCGTGGATGGTACACTTGGATGTCAGGTCGACGGGGTCGCCTGGGGGTTGTGGTGTGCCTCCGCCGCTGAAGCTCTTTGGCATGCTTCACCTCTTTATCATAGTCATCCCTGGAAGAGGCAGAGAATCAACTATTTGTTACTGCTGAGAAAGACACATGTCACCCTCTAACCAGGTGAACAGGAGAAGTAGATCATGCTCTGGTGTCGCTGTACATACGGATAATATTTAGAAATCATGCTTTCCTAACAAAAAACAAGCTGCTGTTCCAGTTATACTGGTTCATGTTGTTCTACCTCCAGAATCTCAAACTAAAGAGAACTTTGATCAACAGGCCTGTGTTACCTTTGCATGTATTGTCACTTTGCTCGTAAAAGGACGTGTATTAACAATCATGTAACGTAAACGTATGAATCTTTCTTCGCCATCACATCAACTTCTATTTAAAATAAGATACAAGTAGCTCCAGATACTGTGGGTGGATGCTGTGAACCAGCTAGCATGCTCTCTGCTAACACAAGCTAACAGCAGTTGAGGCAATCACCTAGCAATCTGGTTCCTCCGGATATGGTGCAGGAAGCCGTGGCTCATGTCCAAACGCCCCGCGCGCTTGTATTTCAGCTCCTGCTCTTCATCGTCTCTTAGAATATCCATTTCAACAGGCACCTCCAAAACGGTGACAGTATTTACGAGCTAATGGCGCTAATGTTAGCTTCCAGTCTCAATCAGAGCACTGACAAAAAGCTATATGCTAGCCAATGGTAATTGGTTGGCCAATCGTAAAACTCCCGGAGTTTATAAGGTTAGCCAACCAAAAACATCGTTCAACATTGAATTTTACAAACGTTTCACAACATTAAACCATTGAAACGAGTTCAGATAAAAACAGCAGACTATACATTTAAAACTCTGCTGGTTGTCACGTTGGTTTTGGGCACTGAGCAGCTCAAAGAGCCATGCAGCGCTACCTCCGGAATAGTTTTCTGTCTATTTGCGAGCTGCGACGCACAAACACCGCGGGTTTCGACGCACACGGTGTGCGACTCATTCATCTGATCCACACGAAGTTGAGTCTTTCTCTGTTGCTTTGACTCTACGGCCTCAAGGGAACAGCGATGATGGTTTCTCTGAAACGAGAAAGAGAAGTTGAGGTGGACGACGACGACAGCGACGACGGAGGTAAATGTATTTACTGCTAACGTCTGCACGTCGTTTCATTAGCTGGTGGCTATCATACTCACAGTTAGCCAAACGTGCGTTAGATTGTATCACCGGCTCGCCCGGCATCAGAGGCGGCTCGCTTAATATCCCTTCGTTGTTGTTTAACACCGCCCTTCCAGTGCACCCCGTGTATCAAATGCACAATCTCCAGCCATATTAAACGCTCTCCTGGGTTAGCTTAGCATGTTTAGCTAGCTTTCGCCCAGCTGATTGGGGATCAACTGTATTGACTGTTTCCTTCCATGTTGCAGTGGCAGCTAAAGTAGGACGAGGACGTGTAGTAGAAGACCGGAGAAGTCGCCACTGCCCGTATCTAGACACCATAAACAGGCAAGAGAAAGTCGACTTGACTGTTCACTGCTTATGTTAGTGCTAAATGCTAGTTAGCACAGTCCTTCTCCAGTGCCCTGCAGCTGATCTCCACTTCTGCCTGTTGATCCTACAGGAGTGTGTTGGACTTTGACTTTGAGAAGCTCTGCTCCATCTCTCTGTCCCACATCAACGTCTACGCCTGCCTTATATGTGGGAAATACTTCCAGGGTGAGTGAACGATGTGAGAGTCCACCACAGTGAAACACTTGGTTGTGCTGGGACTGAGTTACTCATGTTTGCTTGATTGCAGGTAGAGGACTGAAGTCCCATGCCTACACCCACAGCGTACAGTTTACCCACCATGTGTTCCTCAATCTGCACACACTCAAGTTTTACTGTCTGCCAGACAACTACGAGATCATCGACTCTTCACTGGAGGACATCACTGTAAGTAAAACCACAGGGTCATTTCCTGATCGTGTGACGATGCTTCCATTACTTGAACTTGAATTGCATTTATGATTGAGGACATTTTGTGATTAAAGCAAACTTCACGGTGAATGAGAATGAAATGGTGCAGTGTTGATATTATGCTATCAATGGGTATATTTTGTGAGTCTGGTTGTATATATACAGCATATATTTTTTGTTCAGCTTAAATTTTGCTATTGTCTGGTGTGAAAGGTTACATCACAAGTCCAAAATACTGGCCATTTCCCCTAGAGGCTAACTTCAAATGATGCTTCGAGCTGTTTTGGCAGATTTAAAGAATAGTCAATGAGTACACCTAATTGGCATATGTATGTAATGCTGTGACACTCATGCTTTACTAAGTGTTAGAGCATTGATCACAGATTATTTTAAAGCACTATCAATGTGACTGTAACTCTCTCAAAATATTACATTATATTATGTACTGGCACGTTTCAGCATCTTGTTATCATTTTCAAACTCCAGTTTTGTGTCACTAATTTGTTGACACTTCTTTTTTTTTCAGTATGTGCTAAAGCCAACTTTCACCAAGCAGCACATTTCAGGACTGGACAAGCAAGGGAAACTGTACCGAGCCTATGATGGTACGACATACCTACCAGGCATTGTTGGGCTCAACAACATCAAAGCTAATGACTATGCCAACGTGGTGTTACAGGTATGACAAAACTGCCACAGTGCCACTTACCTGGGCATAATCAGAAACCTTTTATAAAACATCTGATTATTATTTGCCTTTTCTTCTTAGGCTTTTTCCAACGTTCCACCTTTGCGAAACTACTTCCTGGAGGAGGAAAACTACAGAGGAATCCGCAGGCCACCGGGGGACATCATGTTCCTCCTGGTGCAGAGGTTTGGGGAGCTGATGCGCAAACTTTGGAATCCAAGAAACTTCAAGGCCCACGTGTCTCCCCATGAGATGCTTCAGGCCGTGGTGCTGTGCAGCAAGAAGAACTTCCAAATTACCAAACAAGGTAAGATTTCTGTCACAAACCATCACAGTACAGTAAAGTACGGTAGGTTGTGGCTCTGATTGTTTGTTGCCGTTTCTGCAGGAGATGCTGTGGACTTCATGACGTGGTTCTTGAATGCTCTGCATGGGGCGCTTGGAGGCACAAAGAAAAAGCCATGTGAGTAGGAGAATTAAAGATGTTTTCTCCTACGTTTCAGATCACTCACATGACAGTTTTTTGTCATGTTAATATTAAATTGTTAGGATTTAAATACAAAGTTGAATACAATTTTCTATTGAATGAGTTTGTTGTTTCTGGTATT